AGACCACAAACCCCCAGCCCCCTCAACAAAAAACTAAAAAGAAAACCCCAGAGTGAAAAATTAATGTGATTTCTGTTATAACCTGAGCCTTTCAAAGCTGAAAGCTTTATTTCTATCAGATTTTTAATTTGTTTTCTGCTCAAGAGACAGGCTGTGTGGGTTGCTGCTTTGTTTTGTTTGGGTGTTATTTTGGTCTGTTGTTTTTTTTGTGTGTGTCCCCCCCCCCTTTTTTTTTTTTTTTTTTTTTTTAAGAACAGTGATTGTTTTTAAGCAAACCACGACACATGACTGCAATGGTTGGAAATCTCAGCAAGTTGCTTTCAGGAAAAGGGGAAAGGCTCGGATGGGAGCAGAGCTGGTCTAATACCCACGGATTTGTCCCTGGCTGCTGGCTGCATCATGCCAAAGTTTTAGTGCGTTGTAACTACCAAACCCAGACAAACCAGCTCCCTCAGACACTTACACCTCCGCTCAGGCGATGTTAAAACTCAGCCCTTATCTCTCCTGTACCCTCAGGGCAGCCTGGGAGAGGGACCTTATCATCGAAATTGTAACGAGATGATCCCTGTATTAAAGAGAAAAGGGGCAAAGAAGGAAACCCAGAGATAACGTTGAAGGGAGGCGGACAGAGCAGGGGGTGAGTTAACGTGCCCATCTCCAGGCTGGGTGCTTCCCACCGAGGACTCACTGCTTTTGGGGATTGCTCGGGAAAACACTGGCCAAAATGGGTTTGAATGAATTCGAAAATAAAAGGGGAGCTTTTCAACAGGGGTGTATTCGGCAGCACTAACTGTGGCCAGCGGTTAATTTCTGCCCTTTTCTCATCCCTAGAAGTCCGCAAAGTGTCTTGTAAGACTTGGCCTTTTGTTTTAGAGCCTGGAGAAAACTCTTTGTTCTTCCTTAGGGTTAGCCCAGTTCTCAGACTTGCACATGGCAATACTTGAATATCTCCACGTCGTGATATTAAAGATGGATATTCCTGCATTATTCGCATCATTGTTTCTATGACAAAAAGCACCGAGTTCATACATAGTAAAGACGTCTTTTTTCTGACGCCTTCACGTTGAGAAGCTGAAAAGGTATTTTACTGAAGTTCGGCTAAATTGCAGGAACAGGTTCACCCAGAGGACAAATTTTCTATTCGATTAGTTGTATTTCAGCCGGGAAGAGTGACCTCTAAACCCTTAACCTTTTGGACCCAAACTACCCTTCCCTTTCTCTAGCATGGAGAGCAGCTAGCAGCAGCGCTTGAGGAGGGAATTCCTGAGACAAGTCTTCAAGTTTTGTTACACCCAGTTCCTGCGGTAGTGGCCTTTCGTCTACCAGAGTTGTCCAAAGCCCTCCCTTTGCTCTTTATACGAATCGGGG